TGCATTCGTCCCCGTTTTGCCCAGTTTCACACAAGGCTGGCTGTCGTTTGCGTTTACAGCAAGCTGCAAGCTCAAGCCGCTCTCGTAACTGCTAACTGGTTTTCCCCTGCCAGCATCGGAGGCTAAATATAAGCCCGTGGAGCCAGCCCTGCGTCCCTGCCCGTATCTGGCAGCGCCTGGCATTCCACCGCGATTTCACAGAGCCGATGCTTTCCACGAACTTGGCAGCTGAAGAGAGCTGCCTCTCCCCGAATAAGCTGTAGGAGTTTCTAGAGGAACAGGAAACAGATTGCTAGTTTTCTCTTCAGTGCAAAGGGCAATATTGCAATTTTCTTTTGAGTCCCGAAGTCAAATGCTGCACTCCACCTCTGGGAAGTAAAAAAAGTCATGCCAAAAACTTGTTCAGCCAGTGCTGCTTGTTGTCCAATGGTTTGTTTGGTAACACTGTGCTTTTTTTGAGGAAACTGGTATTTTTAAAGGATTGGCAGTTATTAAACAACATTTAATGCGTACGGGAAACTTACAATGAATATGTTAGCATCTGTGCCAGACCAAACATCTGTAATTTTTAATGGAGCAAGCAATAGGAAATAAGAATTTTAATTCTGCTTTTCAGCTGACACTATAAATCAGCTATTTTAAATTCAACCAAATTGAAGAATGTCATTTTTTGTTTCTTAGGGTCAAAAATGAATAGCCTTAGTTCAGCAAAGTATTCCACATGAACTAGGCATGTGAGTAATCTTGTCCTTAAATAACTTGTTTACACACTGATAAATGCAGATGATGATAGTTTTAAAAAACCACGGAGGCATATGCTAATTCAAAATATGCCCAGACGAATGGTGGGAGCCTGCCAAGTTTCACAGGTTTTAGGCTTCACTTTCATGTTAGAAGTACCTGTATAAATCCAGAGCTGAAGAAGAAAAGTTCCCAGTTTGACTTGACAAGATTTCCCTAGAGAAGAGAGCGGCTGCAGCCAGCCTGCCCTCCTCTGCTAGCTCGCCCCCAGCGCAGCCCCTCGGTGGGGGCTCGGCCAGCCCCGGGCACTGCCTCCTGCCTTGCTCTCACAGCTGGACCGCCGGTGACCAAAGGGGACCCCTGCTCTTTTGGTACCTGCTGGGGAAGGAGATCTCTGGCAACATCTCTCCTGGCTTCAATTTTTGCCATTCAGTTAGCCACCAGTGAGGGCTAAAAAGAAACCTGCCGCCACGTAAAATCGTCACGGTAGTGACGTACTCAGGCTGTGTATAGCCATCAGCGGCTGAGATATTCTGACTTAATGAGTTACCTTTCGTGAGCTGGGTTACAGTAACCCGCCTTAATTAAAGAGTAAAATAAATTAGAATAAACTACCACGAGGGTGATTAAAACCAAAACATGAAGTGTTTAAATGAGTATGTCATACTTAACAGATGGGGTAGGCAAAAGATACTCCTGCCTGCACTTACACAGCCTGAGCTTAAGAGTGCAACTTGGTAAGCCATGGTAATTTAATAACTTAAAATTGTCCTATTGATGCAAAAGCTAAGGATTCAACACCTACAGAGGCTGGTACCCTTCACTCTAGGTTGTTTGTTCTTGGAAATGGCTGATGCAGAAGGGATGTTACAGCAAACAGGATGAATGAAATAGAGTATTAAAGAACACGTTGAACGGAGTATTTTGCAGACATATTGCCTGAATTATTAGAATGGGCTTGTGACTGGACAAAGTATTTAAACTACTCAGAAAAGTAATTCTTGAAAATATGAAAGAGCAGATAATGGCAAAACATTGCTGACCAACTTTAGTTAATGCATCTTGGAAGGGCAGTGATGGTATCAAGATGAACTTAATGACCAGGAGAAATGGTGTGAGATAAACAAGCTATAATTCAGCACGGACAGGGTAACCTTCTACATGTTGGCTGGAATAACTGATTGTGCAAACAGGGTAGAAAGCGACACGAAGGATCTGTGAATTACCATGTGCCACCAACCAAATGCCAACCATTTCATACTGCTGAGAAAAAACTGAATGTCATACGGGGATGTATGAACAGGAGTGCCATATGCAAGATGTGTGAAATCATCCTCCTACTCTACTTGCTCTACTCAGCTTGAATCCTGCGCCCAGATTTAGGCACTGCACTCCACGGAAGATGTGGAGCAGCCAAAAGCAAGAAGATTGCTGGAAGTCTGGTAAGCGTAGTCTGAGGAAACCTGGGACAAAAGGGAAGAGGACGGGGCAAGTGAGAGTGGCCCCCGGTACGCAAAGAAAAAGAAAAGAAATTGTTTTCCAGATGCAGTGGATAAATAAGGAGGACAGCTGAGTTACAAAAGGGGAATTCAGGTTAGACATGATGCAAATGCTGTAGTGGTAGTGAAACACAGGGGGAAGCGGCCCAAGGAGGAGAGAAAGTGCAGGGTGAGAAGCATCTGTTAGGAAAGACGTAATCTTGTCCTGTTGCAGAGGGCAGATGAAGTCTGGAGAGTGTGCCCCCTGGCTCTGTGATGCTGATGAAAAGTTAAAAATCCTCAGCTGCTATAAACCGGGGAAACTTCATTAATGATTTATACCAGTAAAGGGGCCTTGCCTGGAATGTGTCCAGTGTAATCATTTTTTCTACCTAATTTTTGCTTTTAGCCATGAGATTATGAGTAATAGCTACGGGGCTACACTGTTAGCCAGAAATCCTTTAGCTTTCTAAAGGTCAGTTAATCTATGATCTAATCTGATGGTCACTGAAATTAAGTGGAAGTAGTTCAGTGGGCTGTAATGGAGGGTGGTTTGTGTCTCTAGCCTTCAGTTACCTTGAGTTAAACCATCCTTTATAAGCAAAACAACATAGAGGCATGAAATAAATTTTGAAATGCATGCTGAATCTTTCTGTTGCACTGCAGGAAAAAAAAAAAAAAAGGAAACCCTGCCTTTCTAGCTATCTGCTGGTTTAAAACAGTCCTCATTAAAAACTCCAGAATGTCTTTAGTGCCTGCTGTTCACCTGTTGATATCCCTGTCCCTTGGGAGATTTTATGCAGCTGGGGAAGCAGGCAAGATTCCCATGAACGCGGCTGCTCTGTCTTGACTTGTTCACAGTGAGAGCTGAGCTGCATATTTGAAACTTACTCCTTTTAAGAGTGGACTACTTCAACTAAGCAAGACCAAAGAAAAAAAACCCAGGACACAAAAAAAGGAAAAGAAAGGCAGAGGTGGCTGTACAGCTCGGCAGTTAAAGAAGCACTAAAATAGAAGTGTGAAACTTTTCATAGTTAGTTATCTGTAAGTCTTCAAGGATTTCAAGTCTCAGCATAGTCACTATTAGTGAATTAAAGATCTGAAAGGTTGTCCCAGCAAGCAGATGCTTTGATCCCTAAACAGAGCTAATATTTCATATTTTTGAGTCGCTTCCCCCAGGTACTTTCATTTCATATGGCTGGACTTTAGACTGCTTTTCTACTACTCTTGCAACCCACCTGGAAATCCCCTCCTATGTAATATTATATGTAATATACGCTACTTAGTTTGAGGAATTGAATTTACAATACATGCACAGGCATAAAAACCCACAAAAGAAACCAAAGACGTAGGTCAGAAAGCTAACCTTCCTTTGGCTCTGACTTTCTTGTGCTGCATTTCCTCTAGATTATGATACAGTTTAATTTTCATGGATGTCATCTGAAAATGAGAGCCGAGGTAATGTAGCTGAATTCTCTTTGTCACTGAATATATTCTGTACGTTAACTGGTAGTGCAATGCACTGAAGCATAGTCTTTAATTAAAGTGCAACAATACCACAGCTGCAGTACGGGCATGGCACGGGAACCTGGTGCTGGATATAAAAACAGCTGTGCTGAAACATGTCATATCACTACACGATGTGACTGAGTCAGTGGAGACACTCTTACACTTGAAACCTGAAGTATCACTGAGCACTGATTTTCATCTGGGGAAGCTGTGATCAAATCAATGCATGTATTATTCTCCACAAATGAATAATGGCGTGAACAAGGACATATTAAACACCTACAGCGCACAAAGCTTTTCACACTGGTTATGAACCAAACACAAACAAAGAGGCTGTGAACTCTCCAGAGCTCTCGTTTTGTCTCCCGTGAAGTCCTCCTGCCTGTTTGGATACAACGTGCGGCATCCCCACAAACGCCCTGGTGCCAACAGGAAAGGGCACTGATTTCACGTCGGGAGCAGGCTGACTGCCCTTCTCTCTTCCTCTTTCCTGCCCTCGAGGAAAACAAAACAAAACAAAACCACCCCGTACCCCACAGTGAGTGAAGGCGGTACGAAAACGGGGGAGATGAAGACGCCTCTGCTGGCACCAAAGCCGGGGAGCGGCCAATGCCGCTTCCCTCCGTAGCCCTCTGCTGCGGGATGCACTGGCGCTAACTGGACGGGTCTGTCCCTGACCGGGGGAGGCAAAGCTCTCCACCCCAGGGCAGCGAAACCCTCCCTACGCTCGCTCAGCCAACACAGGGGTTTCAGGAGAAACGCAACCCAGAACCGGCCACTGCCCTTATCCCACAGACAGGCGTCAGCCAAGCCAGGACAGCACCGCTCTGCTCTCTGCAGGAGCCAGTGCTCTCTAAACGCCCAACGCGTGCAGCCCCTTCGACTTGCCGGCACAGCTGATGCTGTCATTGCAGCACGGGGACCTCTGCAAAGGTTTCCCTCCAACGCTGGCCACCAAAACCAGAATCAAACATCCACAGGAAAGCAGCCGCTGGGCTCCCTCTCTGCGCAAGGCACGGCATTCACATATCCTTGTTCCCCACTACCGTGCAGGCACCACAACCTACGGCAGGGCGCTACGCCACACCGGAGCCCCAGGCATGATTTTAACATCTCAGCGCGGTACAAACAGTTTAGGAAAAGAGGACGTGGATTTGGCGCAGGGCAGTGTTGCAGGGAGGAGGCACCGGGAGCCATGCAGTGATGCTTCTCTGCTTGCTGGGAAATGCATCAGGGAGGCACAAACACACAAAAGAGAGAGGAGATAGTTACCTAACATGACGAAGGGGATTCCCAGGAAGGTGGAATTGTATTTCCCACCAGTGAGATTGATGATCCCAGCTGCAGTCAGGGTGGCAAGGGTCACGGTCAGCAATCCCAGCAGGCCAAGCCAGGGTTTGCTGCGGACACAATCCTGCATGGAGCAGCAGAGAATGGCCAAGGTGACCACAAGGACCAAGCTTGTGATCAGGTAGCGTTCTGACACCCTGCTCGTCTTCTGGAAATCCTCCTTCAGCGAAGAAGAAGTGAAAGGATACATTTTGACTTTCCTGTTGGATTTCTGGAAAAGTTCAACAGTGTCACAAAAAATGGATTCCCACTTCTCTGCTACCATGTCATTCAAGGAGTTGATTGCCTGCAAGTAGTAGGTGAGCTGAATGGCTTCTGCAGACTTCACCCGGTCTTTGCTGTGCACAGTAACCCCACCAAGCTGATGCCCGTTATACACTTCCCTGCCATCCTTTAAGTGAGTAATCGGATAAGTGATTGCAAAATTAGTTCGATTAGAAGAACGAGCAGCCTTTAATTCCTCCAGTACATGCACTATGTCGTCCACTATGCATGTCTTGTCATTGTTCAGGATACATATATGGGCAAACGTGTAATTGAAACCAGGTCTTTGAACTTGGATCCTGGTCACAGCAGAGTGCAACTACAAGGGAAAGAGAAATCACACGCGTTATTCATCAGTTCATCGCGCACAGTAGCAGCCAGAACAACAGCGGCTCCTCACCTCCGTCCCTTTCCTATTTGATCTAAGCAACAACAACAAAAGTTCTAGTGACTGCAGTATTAATAGCACACTCATTGCAAAAAAAGGAAACATGCATTAAAATAGCAGTATTATTCCCCCGGTGTCCTTTGCTGGTAACTCGGGTGTGTTGTGATTTGCATCTGTGCCATGTGCATCTGCCATTCGGCCTCTCTAAATAAGCAAACTCAAAAGGCCTGGACCTCCACTTTCAAGTGATCTGGGCGAACATAAAAGGGAGAGCTATAGCCCGACTGTTTCTGGGGACACTGTCGTGCTTGGCGTTGCCAAATTACTCTCTGGACAGATAAACTTCAGGTACAGAAGGCAGAAGAGCAACGTGACCGGGGGTGCCACCTGCGTGGGATGCACCGGCAGCCTGGCAGCTGGCAGCGGCAGGGGACCAGCACTCGCTCGGAGTAAAGGACAGGCCACAGCTTCACGGCCTAAGTGCAGAGATTGTTGGCATAGCAGGAATAAGATAGCTGGCATTAATTAATTTGGCCTCTTTCCCCCTCCCTCTTTCCCCCATCAAACCCTCTGCGAGTCTGAGAGCGGGAAGTAATGGCAGAGAATGACACTGGTTTTCTCCTTCTCTCTCCAGGATGTTGTGTCAACCAGGGAAGGCCCTAACTTTAGGGCCTGCAGGTTATTACCACTTATTGGTTGGTCTAGCAGGTCTTAGTGCAGCCTTCTTTGTAAGCTATTTTGCATCCTTCTGAAATATGCCATGCCTGAGCTCTGACCCAAACTGCATTCCCTTATTTTTGAGCATCAGAAGGGCAGAAAAGTTACCCTCTCAAAAAATTGTAGAAAACTCTTGCCACCTTTTCTGAATCTGTTTTAGTCAACACAGAAGAAGCAAGAAATCTACAAGACGGTAAGGGAATAGCCCCAACAGGCTGAGGTTACAATATTTTTCAAAAGTAGAATAATGAGTTTCTAATGTTGGGAGCCTTAGCTGTTTTTTTGCACATTTTCCTTGCAAAAAGTGCAGGCCTCACCCACCACCATGACTAATTAACTCCTTCTGTGCTGCTCTAGTTGTGCAGAGAGTACCAAGACCTTCCGTAGGGATGCTGCTGAGGCCAAGGCGATGTTACCCACCGCCAGAAGTCTTCTTTCCCTGCGGCTGTGATGTCCTTCATCCTGGGTAGCCACGATGTTCAGGAGAAGGCTCCTTCTGCTCTTTTCCAGCTGGCACAGGGGGTACCTGGCATCCCAAATGCTGGGGGGCCCCGCACGCCGCTGCGTACGTGCTTTGTGCATGGCTCGGTGAGATACGCGATTCTCTCGAGGCATCAGCAAGGACGACACAGGGGGTCCTGCCCCCCTCGTGCCGCCTGGTCCCAGTGACCCCGTGGACGTGGCAGTCCCCACAGCCTGGTCACTCGGGCGGGTGGCCACGTCTGCTGCCATGGTGGGAGTAAATCACTGGATCTGCTCTGAGGAACTGCATGGGTTTACCCTTTGGTCCCTTTTACACCGAGGGAAATGGTTGCAGGAGCATTGCAAAGGCGTGGCGACACAACCAGGGCTGATAAAGAAGAAGCCTTCCTTCACCTGCAAAGCAGGGAGACCACAGCTCTTCCAGGGAGCTGAAGAGCCAAATTAAGAATGACTATAATTTCTTTTCCTTAAAGGGGGAATAGTTATTTTCTGCCTTCAGATTTTGAGCAAGACAATGAAAACTGGCTACGGAGAGATGATTCCTTTTTTCTTCTACTTGCATATGCTGTTTTCCATTGCAATCTGAAGAGGGCAGGAGGCTCTTATGCCCAGTAAAGAGGCTGGGATTAGGTGATTGATATTTAATGGAACTAGTTCCTTCTTAAGACAAACACTGATTAAAAAAATAGAAGATAAGGTACACGAGAGCAGTAGAGCTTACATACTCATCTGGTGGCAATGGACAAAATGTCTAATAATCATGGCTAAAATCCTGCGTCTGTTGAAGTTAAATAGTCATAGTGACTTTTGTGTGGTATTTCAGATCTACTTGCAGAAAAAAAAACATTTATGCAATACTATGAATCTGATATTGTTTTGTGATTACATTGCATAATCTGTGATGGGTATAAATTTAGTTACGCTGCCTCTGTTCCTCAGGATGACATGACATAATATAGGGA